GACTAGAATAAAACATTTCTGGCGCTGATGGTAGTTTCAGCTTTGTTGGCTCCGTTGGTCTGAGTTTAATTGATTACGAGCACAACGAGTGTTAAGTCGTGTTTTTCTAATTGCTGAGGGATCTGGTACGCTGTTGAATCGCATTCGTTTGTTTCGGCTCATATCGAATTGACTTCTTTGAGCCCTGTTTAGTTGGGGAGAATCGTCTGACGCAGGTGCAGATACTAATCGGCTTTTTGTGTATCATTGTTGACCTGTCGCCTTCGCTGTTCTTAGTGGTCGTGTTAGAATTGCTGTGAATGTTATTATCGGGCGTTCGACTAAATGTACAATTTTATATCTAACAATTGATTCTGTGCAAAGTGTTGATAGCATTGGCGCGTAGCGAATTAAAAAAATGTTTAAGCGTTACTGCCTGCATTTTCTTGTTTTTGCTTGAGAAGACAGAATTCCACCAAACAACACCAAACTCGAAAAGGTACTACTCCACAAAATTTAAAAGCGGAAGTTGTTCTATCCGACCGTGTACGTGTATAGCAGCAGCTATAAAAATCACTACATTAGTAGATACGCAGACGAGATCAAAAAAAAAAAAAAAAATCAAGACCATTTGAAATAGAAAATTTTAGTTTAGTGATAAAGCCATTGGCGATAAGAAGAGAGTGAATTTCAGTGGTACGGTTACGCTAAGCAATATGCTGTGCGATCGTGTTGTTGCGAGTTAGATCGGTCGCGGAATAGGCATCGTGTGTTCGGACTTCGGCTCCTATTATTATTGATCAGTTCGACTTCAAGAGCATTTGATGTGTGTTGTTCTAAGTTGTTATGCTTTGTTAGCAGCAAAATTAGCAACATTTTTCGTTCCGGATGACCTTATCTGCAGCGTCGTGCTTTCCAAATCAGCCCATATACAAACATATAACGTATCGTGGAACATCAATGATGAAATAAGTAAACCGCACGAAGCGGTCTGACGGCTGTCAAGTGGACAAAAAACGACAGCAACTACATCAGAAGAACCGGCCAAATGGATAAACAGAACGGTATATGCAACGTTCTCGCGGTAATGATAGAGCCTGTGCCAACCAGACGAATGTTCGTCCGCATTACCGACTGTAGGCTCATAACATACCTATAATTCAGGCGTTGATGTCATCGTGTTCATTGAACTAGTGCATCCGTCCATGATAACCTGATTCGATTCCAATTTAAGGGAGCTGCCTCTAATAATTGACAAAGCGGAATAACATTTTATTTGTGGAAAATTGTTTTGCAACCTACATACACAGTTTAATTACGTTTCAATTGTACGCCATCAATAGTTTGATTGGTGCATTATGTTATAGACTGTATATCTCAGCAAATCGGAATTCTCACGCAGTACATCAACTAAGTCGAGGTACAAAAATAAAACGATTCAATAATTTGTAGTCGGTCGTATTTTTTCGAGGCACCATTAAGTGGTCGGATGAAAAACAAATACAATTACAAATATTCACAATCGGTACATTGTAGCTTATTAAGTTATTTGCCATTTTCTTTGGAAGAAATTAGTGGTTATTTGTGGTTAAATATAAAATATACACCTGACGAACTTAGGAATATTTGCTCTATTCTTTGAACATTCGTAGCCCTGTAGTAGAAGTCCGATCCAATGTAATCTTCTTGAAGCTAAAGTTTAGTGATTTTCTATAAGCGAACACTCTTGTTTATTCAGGCAATACTCTACCATTGAGATTTAATTAGAGACGTAGAAACTTGATATTCGTCTTTTATTGAGCAATCGGGATATGGTCAATTTGTTTATTTTTTAATTCGGAACTTTTTACGAGAAATAAAAACAATCGAAATAAGTAACGCAGACAGATTTTTCCCAAAGTTTAATTTGTTATGGTTTCAAAAAAAAATTAAAAATTTATACAACTTTGGCATGAGGCCAAAGTAGAAATTTACTTATTATTATTTATTTATTTTGAACTTATTGCCGATAATATGAAAATAGTTGTTCAATTTGGTATTTTGCGTTATTATTGGGTAGCAATTCTTCCTACCAAAAATTATTAAAAAAAAATCGACCGCCATTTTCGATCTACCATATTGAATTTTTACGTTTTGTTCCACAATCGAATACAGCGTCTCCGAAACTCTTATATGTAATATTTATTTATTTCATAAAATTACTACTGCATTTATGGTAAATAAAATGGGATCTCTGGCCCATAGTGCATCCGTAGAATGGACAAGGAACGAGTTAGGTTGTTCCATCGGGCAAATCTTATGCCTGTTGTTTCATATAGAATTCTCCACTTGATACTTGCAGGTGTTACATTGTTTGCATAATAGCCACACGTTCTTTCCTCTGGCAACCACGGTAACAGGTAATGAAATCTGTCGCTTTGTTGGTACCATAATTCATCGACGATGTTGTCCGTCTACTACATATTTGATTTGTGTAAGACGCAGCATGAGTTCGTTGTCTTTCGTACTTATTATTCGTTTGAATTTGAAGAGAAGAGGAGACATGCAGTGGCATAGGGTAAATTGGTTGCACCTTCACGGCACAACAAATATTTGTGAGGTAGGTGCATGGTATTGAACTCGGCTTCTGCATTGTAGTGCCCAACTGCACCAGTAATGTATGTTGGGATTATGTCGTCGCTGTGAACTTTATTCAGTTATCTGTGGTACATTCATTATTGCCATGGTATGAACAAATATATTTTCTGAGTTATATGTAGAGATAGCCATGATTCGAACATTTTGGGCATTTTAGACACACTTTCGGAACTAATTGGCTTAGAATTTGAATCCTTAAACCCTCGCCGGTGACGTACATTAATAATTTCATGTCACAATATTTTATAAACTTCCCTAGTGGAAAAGATCGGATGGTCAAGTGTTTTGTCGGTTTCCATTTGTATAAATAATCTCCACGCTCGCAAAATGTTTCAGTCGGTCAACAATCGCTAACCTCCGAATTTGTTTATTTGTTAATATTAGGTTCGTGTTAGACAACATTTGGACGTTGTGCATTGTTAGTGTTGTTCATGGCTTGTTTATTATTGAGTATCGCATTTTACTAACTCATTTGGTTAGCTTGTTTTGGAGAGTGTGTCTGAGAGTAAATCTCGTTTTTGGCTTTATAATAATTTTTGGGAGCAGATATGGAACTGATTTGCTCCACAAAATTTAGCACCAAAACAAAGTAAAACTGAAAGGCAACCGGTTTGGACGCACATCACGTACTACCTATATATATATATATATATACGTAGTGTATGCTGTACTTGTTTGAGATTGTATATTCATATGTATGTGTTTCGGAACGAAGAGTAGAAACGCTTGCAAATCATTTACATTTTAAATGTTTGATTGTCGCCACTGCCGACAGACTTGGAAGCCCCGAACCGATCAATAAATTGTGTTCCATTATTTATCCACATAAATACGTGCATGATTATATACATATTTGCAATAGAATATTTTATGTGCGATAAACATCGCATCCACACATGTAATGATAGTAGCACGAACGAGGCAAATTATAATTAATTCCATAAGTGGACGTCTCCATAGGTCGATTTAGTTTGGTGGTTCGAGTTATAAAAGTTCAACTGTATGTCTAACAAGTAATCTATAAATTGAGTAATTGCACACAAATTTAGGCGATTGAAAACAAATCTTATTTTGTTAGAAATTAAATATCGATGGGACAGCTCCCTTTAAATCATAATTAATAATTCATAATTATTCACATGCTAATTTCAGATAATATAATTTTTAGAAAATTGCTTGTTTTCCATTACGCTTGGTTCCCTTGAATCTACCTTCATATCAGTGGTTTAATCGAAAAGTTCAATAAACTTGCCCTTCAGCGCCATTAGCGTTTTTTCCGTGATGTTGATGTTAGGCTATACGGCTTCCGTTTGGGTGTTGGTAGTGTGTGTATCTGCGCGTGTTAATACATTTTAAATCGTAAAATGCTTTCAATTATTTTATTTGAAACCTAGTGTCGATAATTTAGTTGCTTGGTGTTTGAACCAAAAACATATAGTTTGATTATTCCGTACATGTTCTGTTTTAAATTGGTTCGCTATTATGGGTCGCTCATATTAAAATAATGTACACGTCGTTACAGTTGTTTTTTTTTTTTTTTTTTGTATTTTTGGTTACAGAAAAGGAAATTAGATTATTACTGAATAAAAGCCTTCACGTCAGAGATTAAAGTCTATGTCGACATTTCTCATTGTTTGTTATGCTTTTGTTCAATGTTATCATCATGAGGAGTCCGCAATTTAATGTTGGACTCATTCAAACTGAAAATAGTTTAGATTTTTAATTTGTCTTTCGACATGGCACCAACGTACTTGCGTACCAACATATTAACGACTTATTCATACAACTGTAAATGTCCGATATGTCTAGAATTCGAAAGAGTTAACGGCCTTGCAAAGTTCTACAAAACGGTTTAAAGATAACACGAAATATAATACCCCACTTCAATATACATATTTTATTGCATTATTTGGTGTCAGTGCATATTTACTTGCACAAAGCAGATAGCATTAGGGTGGACCGTATTTTCCTCAATTTTGTTCAGATTTAGATAGACTTACTAAGATCAAATAAATTAATTTGGCGTATATTGTATTGGACGGAAATCGGATGCGATGCAAAAGAGTAGTTTTAGCCATAAAGAACAACAACAATAAAACAATTATTTTGAATATGCTTCTCTTCATCTCAAAATCGTACAAATTTCAAAATTAAGTTTCTAGAATTAATTGAACCTAACTATATCACTCCTGGAGCGAGTTTCACGAGGAACGCATTTATTACGCCTGAATTCGTACTGTTTGGACTTGATAAGAATAGCTTTCGGGCATCTGATAGGAAAGCTGTGTAGCGCTGACACGGATACCATTTTAATCTGTTTGCTATATATGTAAATGTTATTCTCTTCATTTGTACACAGATTTATTGGCGGCTTGTATATGTGATAGCATCAACCTGTTGAGTGGTGCCCACGAAAGCAATGAACCCCAGCAATGGGTTATTTTGGCATTTAGCACTGCTTTTAGTGGCAACATGCAGTTGGCGCCAAGGAAGTGGCCGCGAATCGCAGCTGAGGGTTGGCAAAGCCCTCAACGTCTTCGTGCGATTCGGTTATTTGGGTATTTCGATGCGAGTAATACCGACTAACGACACAGCGGAAGACGTGCGATGGCTTTTTAAGGAGCCAACCCGAAATATTTACAAGGTACCTTATAAACTGAGATCTGTAACCTAATGTACACATGCATGCTAACGTTGACGCTTTACTTTTAGGATGTAAATAATTATGCCGAAAGCAATGAACAAAACACACCCGGTATTTTCCATGGTGACTTCCACATGGAGTTCTGCGACAATCGTCGACAATTATATCAAGCTTATTTCCGTGACTTTACAATTGAACGCTTGGACCGTCCATGGGAGGCATTCACTGGTGGTTGGTTCCCCGATAACGCTGCGAAGAAGTTGGGAATAAACACTTCCTTCATTCAAGGAGACTACTCGTATGTGTTGGTGAGGGTTGTACGTTTTAGGGAAACGGGTAAATTCAGGTCAGAGCTGCCACTGAACTTGACATTGGAAAACGACGTTAAAGAGCGAATGAACGATATTGTAACTGGGAATGTTACGACAGCTGTGAAATTTTTCGAAAATGTTGGCACGCACTACATCAACTCCTACACAACCGGGAATTCGTTATATCAGGTGAGTACAAGTGTACCCAACGAGAAGATCTAGCAGCGTGTGTGCATTGCACTCATGAAATATTTCTTAAATACTAAGCAAATAATTTAAAAATGTGTATACTTAAACGGCTTTCAGAGACAAAATCAAACTTTAAATAAATCGAAAACAATTTATTTTTTACAATCCCCCGTTAATAATTTTTTGCATATCCTTTATTTGCGAAGAACTTTTCTCGGCCACTCAGGCGACGTAACTCACGCGACATTTTTGATTAGCATTTATAGTCATTAAATTAGTATTTATGCTAAGAACAAGAAGAAAAATGACAAATGTGGCCTTTCTTTATATTTTTGCCGTTACTTCACGTATTTAAGCACAATTAAAGAAACAAATTATTCGACTTTGGTTTACCTTTTGCCGGAAATGCCCATATATTAACTATCTAAATCTAAAAAGATCCTGTGTGAAAATCAGTTCCGACCTTCATGAGTTATAATTTCTTTAATTTCAGGTTTTCGTATATAACCGACAGAACTATCAAGTGATCAAAGAACGTATCAAAACCAAAGGAATCAACTCATTGTCGAAGCAGGACCTTTACCATTTCTTTGCTCCATGGTTTGCGGAACATTTAGGTCAAATTCGTTCGGCCAGTGCAAATAATACTGTCGAACGATGGGCTCGCCGAAAACTACAGTACGAATATTTGCTGGTGAAATATGTCACATTGTTAAAATTGCATGGCAATGGCACTCTTCTCCGCACCCTGGACACCTTGCTGGGCAACGATGCTATATTGCAGTTGGACCTGAAATCTCTCAAGGTAATATTTCACAACGACCCAGAGAAACAAAACTGGTTCCACGAGGTTTTGGATAATCACATGGAACTCTGGGAGGCCAATATGCCGCAGAACTGACATGTGGTGTAGTCAGGTGTCCAAGTAATAGTTCCTACTGTTCCTGCCTTCAAGAGCCTGTAGCCGTAATACCTTTGGAATAGTAACGTACTAATTCAGTCGGTTAAGTTTAATGTTTCGTTTTTGTCGTTTTAAGAACAGTTCAACACACTCCAAAGCCTGTGATAGTTTTCTAGACTCGTATTTAATTATAAATTACTGTTTATATTGCATAGTTTGTTTTTATATGTCGTAATCTGTCATAGAATTTAATAAAAGCAAGTTAATGTAAAGAATTTGAAATTTAATATAAATTCAAATTCGGATCTATAATAAGATAAAGCTAGTTCATAAAATTGTATTTAAGTGATTATTTTCGATGGATGGATGGATGTATATGAATCTAAATAAGTATGTATATGTTAAGATAGGATTTTCATATGATTGTTTTCTATATCCTTGTGCAAATATATATTTACACGTATATGCAATAAACCAATGAGCATACATAAAAACAAACTATTGATGAATTTTTCTTTTTAAATATAGGGTAAGAGTAGAAGTAGTCGGCACTTTTAGAATTTGTGTATGTTAGATTTATCACCACTCGGGTTCATTTTTTTTAAATTGTGTTTAGTCTAAGATGTAATAAATAATTGTTTATTTCTTTTGTATTAAAATTACTTAATTTCCCAATTTAGAATAACATTATGTGTTGTCAATTTCCACCTGTCGGCATGACATGATCCTATGATAAGCATGTCGTATTTTAGCAGAACAAAAAAATATTTATTTGTAATGTAATGTATTTATAATGTATAATGTATCCGTAAGAATCGAGAAAATAATATAATTGAGCAAAAAATTAAATTATTAAACACATTATTCTAGATACGTCATATAATATATTTCAAAGTTAACTAGAGGGCAATTTTAATTGACAAAAAATGCATACTAATTACCTACTCGTTTCGCAAAGGATACGACTAGGTAATGATCCCGTTATCTGCCGGCGCTCTCATTCGGAGTATACATTTTTCAGTTTTGTCTGTGTCGTGCATCAATAAAGATAGCAAAAAGATTAAAATACGTTGCCCAAATGAAGTAAACAAAAGAAACAATAAAAATTATGAAATTATTAATTATTAACATAATTGTAATAAAACTGGCAGCATTCCAATAAATAATGAATCGGAGCTTTAAAAAGTGTAAGTAGTAAAATCATAATAAAATATTCTTATTGCTATATTTTTATTAATGGAACGATTTTTTTCAGATAACAATGGAAATATTTGTATTGCCTTAATGAAATCAGGAGAATAAATTCTTTAACGTATTACTAAGGATCTAAAGAAGAATATATGATCACTCATCGATTACATTATACATTATTTGGAATATATTATCTTCGTAAGACGGATAATGCATACTGTAATCAACAAATTATAGTGGCTGTGCATTACCATCGATTACTTTTTCCACTGGGATTTCATATGGCGGTTTCTTATTTACACTCCGATATTTTTTCTCTACACACCTCTAACTTAAGTGGTGTATGTATTATTATTATTTAAAACATTCACGTTAAAGGTAAAAGCGGTTTACGATTTAAACCATCCTAAAACAATTGTAAACTAATTTTAACATTAAAAGCTTATTTACTGTTGGCGGTTTGTTTGGGATACCATTTGATTTTGTATTTGAAAATAATATCAAACCGATGTTTTGTTTTCTACAACAGCAGTACCAATAAACAGCACATATCAGGGGAAATATAAGAGTATAAAATATTACTTATTTATTTATAGCTTAATCAAAGGTAACACTTAATGAGTCTTTTCTCCATTAACAGAATCCTTCCAACTCCATTTTGTCGCTGAAAATGACTTAATAGACTTAATTTGCTAACACGCCCAACAACTATTTAGTTCACAAACGTTTGTTGTTTTGTTGTTCGCGAGTATTCGCGAATTTTTGTTTTCATTCATGAGAATGTCAGAAAGAATTTCAACCACTAAGCGAAACGAACGATCGTTGTTGTGTGCTCTCACTCGTTTGTTATGTGTTGGCGAACATTCGTTTGGTAAAGAATTTATCGTGATAAATTTATTCGTAAAATGAGCCCAACACTAAAAGAACCTATTTTGAATAATTCGCGAGCGAATTTCTGAGCACCCTGAATGAAACTTAAAAACTCATTGCATTAATTTACTCAAAGTTTCATACAGCAATATTTTTTTATTTATTATTGTTTATTGTAATTGGCTTCTTCTTTTACTGTCAATTATGGCTATTTTAAAATCGGAAACATTCAAATTAAAATTTTGATTTTAACAGTAAAAGCAATGATGACAGATTATATAAATAGGTTAATAAATAGGTGATAGAGGACAAACCGTGGTGGCCACGTAATTAAAACATTAACTGTCGCAAATATTTTTTAAACAGTAGGAAACAATAAATACTTCTTAAAATAAATAAATATTAAAAAAACTTAAAAAATTGGAGAAACCTAAAGGAACGAATATTAAAGGAGTATGTAAGGAAAGATTTTAAATATGGGCCAAACTGTAAAATTGTTCTTTCTTTGATGATAATAATGCCCATTTAATATGGGCATTGTCCCAGTTCGTCTTCAGACGGCTCACAAGAAAGACGCATTTAAAGAGTTAATCACGCCTACGGTATTATACCTTCTATTCTAATAGAAAGTGAACTAAATGGAGGAACTGCCTCCATTGTTTAAGGAGATAAAAAATATGGGCATTATCGAGTAAACAGACACAACTAATATTGTCAATGTCAAACATGAAATCAGCTGATTTTGAGGGAACGCAAGTATTTGACAGTAAAAAAAAAAAACAATATCCTTAAAATGTCAAGGAATTTAAAAGCAAATATTGTGAATTTAAAATAGTCGACTTCATATTTAGTATAAAAAGTATGGGATCATATATCATGCGTAGAGTAGTTTGCTTGTTTGAGCAGTGTTTGCAAATTATGAAATTTTGAAAGAAAGGAGACAATTCTCCTGAAATATTGACAATTTGGACATTCAAAAATGATGTGATTTTCCGATTCCGGTATTTGGCAGGTGTCACACAGGTTTGTTGATATTTTAATTTTGTGTAAGTATATTTTTCCGCATGTGTGTCCAGTATACAGACTGTTAATTACTTTTATTTCATCTGGAGTAAGATTCATTTTAGAATACCAATTGGCTTTTGGAAGATTTGGGAAGAATTGAGCAAAGTAGGTACCTTTCTGCTGCGACAACTCTTTGTACTTATCATTCCATTCGTTCCATAAATGACGATATATTGCTGCATATGCATCCTTGATGGATAATTTATTTGGTATAGAACATCCAGCATAAACTGCATGCTTGGCGAAGTGATCTGTCCTCTCATTAGCAGGAATGTGACGGAGTCCAAATGAAGGTAAGTTACTGAATATTAGAATTGTTTATTTTACCAATTATAATGTTGGCCAGGTAGTTGTTTACATCGTTGTTTTTAATTGCTAGACAGGCATTTTTACTGTCCGTTAAAATTGCTGCTTTTTGAATACCATCTTCGATTATGACATCGATTGCTTTATTGATTGCATGAAGCTCTCCCATGAGCGATGACGTTTTTCCGTCTACTTAAAAAAGAAAAATTTCCCCTGACGAGATATTGCATGCAGCGCATCCGGCCCCATCATCCATAATAGAGGCATCCGTTGCCCAAAATAGCACAACCTATGGATCTTAGATCGTTTATTTTGTCTCGATTGCTTTATTGATTGCATGAAGCTCTCCCATGAGCGATGACGTTTTGAAATTTTGAATTTAATCAGTTCTTTTGCAGCAAGATATTGTGAACGTTGTTGTGTTGGCAGTACCATAGCAAGAGCATATATTATATGCACCGGTGTAGATGGCGTTAATCCCAAATTTTTCCTGAGAATCTGATTTTGGAAACTAGTGAGTTTCTTATTTATATATGTAGACATGCGTGACATTGAGGAGATTGAATATTCCGTCTTGGAGAAAAGCAGTGATTTGGACATGTTGGTAGCCACTTTTGGGTGCAAGCCAAATCGTGTGGAATTTAGCATTTTCAGTGCATTTAGAGTGTTTGCAGAATCCTTTAGAACTTCATCGTAGTGATCTTTTACTGTGAGACTATTCTTGATATGTCTTCCAAGAAATTTTATGCTTTGAACTGGGTTGACCCTAATTCCTTGAATTGTGATGTGTGGCGCCTTTCTCGCTCCCTTAGCAACATACATCTAAATGTAACTGTGAATTTGATCAAAATCGGAGTTAATTTCTAAATTGTTTATATTTTTCAGAAGTTGCCTCTTTGCGAGAAAAACTTGGCCTTTTTGGATGATTTATTTTATATTCATAAGCACAGGAAAATGATGACTGCCACCAATATTTGTTATGAGAACCGACCACGAAAAATCCAATAACGAATTTGTGAAAGATAAGTCCAGAACTGATCCTGACGTATCACTCAACCTTTTTTTTGTTTTGAAAGTAATGCTTCCCTCATTAAAAATACGGAACTGTGATGAATCAAAGATTGTTTTTACAGTGACACCACGCTGGGAGTCGAATTTTTCACCGTATGCCGAATGTCTTGCATTAAAGTCGTCGCAAATTAAAACATTTTGTTTGTTTTCGAGAAATGAGATAAGTTTATGTACTTCAAGTTTAATGGTGTTGGATTTCACAGTGTGTGGGAAGTATACCGATACTATTAGTCTGCTTTTCCACAGGCAGATTTTTATTTGGCAAATTTTTTGTTTTCTCTTTTCAAATTTTCGCTTGCTTTTCCATTAGCAAATTTTTCTTTGTCAAATTTGCGAATCAAAATACAAAAGCAAGAAAATAAAAGTCAAAAGTGTTTGCATTTTAAAGATTTTTTTAATATTTTATTTATTTTATTATATAAATTGCAAAAATTAAAAATTAAATTTCACTTGCACAAATTAAAGCAACAGGTTTGTAAACAAAAACCGGCTGTGTGTCAGTAAAGCGAATAGGTTCCAAATTAAATGTCAACAAAATTGTTTTCAACGAACAGAGCAAAGCAGA